GTACGGCACTCCCGCATACTGTCCCATCACCCGGGGCGAAGTAAAAAAGCTTGAGTGGGTGCAGCATGTAGCCACCAGGCTGATTCCCAACTTACGAGGTATGCCATAGCAAGACCGATGTAAGAAACTAGGGTTACACACCCTATCCTATCGTCGGCCGAGAGTAGACCTCATCACGACGCACCGGATATTACACCTGGGTACAACCCGATGTGGAGACAACCACTTCATCTGCGCACACCAAGCTGCACGCGAGGACACCGGTATAAACTTATCGTCCGGATTTGAAGCGGGTCGCCCATGAACTCCGTATTGAACGCAGAGTGGTGAATGTCGTGAACGACCTGCCTCGGCATATAGTAGAAGGCAACACAGTGTCTCAATTCAAGATGCTACTGGACCTACAATTTGCAGAGGCTAAGTACAGAGTGCGAAACGATTAATAAAGAGTTCATGTCCAAAAACGACGAATGATGCAGCTACGCAGAGCAACCTCTACTCGGTGCTTCGCACCAGTTCTCAGTTCTCTGAGCAGGTGCCTTCACCACTGGTGATAGAACTGTCTTTAGCCCCTCCGATGATGTAGCAACAGCAGCGTATGTTTTTAGCTCCATTGTCCATGTCTTACTTTTGTTAGAGCCATCGACTTCACCGGAAGGCTTAATAGCGGATGTTGTCTGCTTTTTCTTCTTGATAACAGAACGAACGCTCTACATTTCGCAGCCGGGTATCAAGAGATTCGTCTCTCCTACGAAATACTGTGCGGCCTTGCCGGCGGCTGCAGCAATTGACACAACTGAAAAGCAACTTCCCGCTAGAGGCCAACGCTGCGTACTGCTCGGTATTCAGCTCCGTACAAAACTGATGGTACCATCGGTTGCAGATATCGCATTGCATGCCGCCAGATTCGTCCGTTACTGGTATATTGCAGCTTCGGCCGCCACAAAGTGCGAGAACCTCAGAATCCGAGCCATCAGGAACAACAGCCTCGGTGCATTGCGAGGCTGACATAGCGCAACACAGAGTGATGATAACACGTATGCAATAGTTAAACGACATCATAAAAGGCAAAAACGGAGTTAAAACTGGGAAAAACTGGAAAAATTACCAGCAGGCGCAGAAGACGCTTTGACCAGAACCGCTTTAATCGATCCAACATATCTTGAATCACAGTAAATTTGACAATAGTCAAATTTCGTTTCAAGTCTTTATTCAACCACTGTTTTCCACGTTATTGCAACTAAAAATCTCCATCAGTATGGCACGCCAAAACGAATAGTTACCGCGTAGCACTGTGTTGTCTCTGGCAGAAATATATCGCAGTGATCAACGGTTTGCAGATTCATTCGCATTTACATGCGTTAGCCGCCGTGTTACATTAATATTAACTTACTGTTTGCCACGCAATCCTGAACGTCAAAAATGTACGCAACCGTACAGCATGTAGCCGTTGGCGTCCCCATCCAGCAAGTGTTTGCGCCTTCCACGCTGGAAAAACATGTCAACGATTTAATCTGAACACGTCCGATTACCTCATCCATGTCTTCAACATTTCCATGCTTCCTAATAACCAAAGATCTGAACAGCTCACCATCATCCACAGCCATAGCGATAGCAGAAAACCCACTATGGCCACCGAAATATTATAACAACTATCACACATATGTACCCTTACCGGTAACACTTCCGATGGCATCATAATTAACACACAATCCAATTCTCCACACACCACTCAGCTATTTCCACCTATTGCACATTCATCCTCCTTGGCAACGTCGCTAGGTAACCACGTTGCTATGTACCATTTGTACCACGGAACGTCCCGAAACAACACAATTTTTTGTTACAGTAATGACACGGTCCGGGACGCTCTCTTTGTCGAGGGGTCAGGTGGATTGTAATCATGTGCAGAAGCAGAACATTCCGGAACGTTCGAAATCGATGCGATAATCGTTACCAATTGATTAAACGCTAAAATAATGGATTTCCAAGGCAAGGTGGGGGAAGGTCAAGAATGGGGGGGTTGCAAACAAAGGGGATAAAAGTGAAGCTGGAACAGAACGGTAATTGTGAAAACGCGTAAGTAGGGGAATAAGATAAATAAATAAATAAACAAATAAACTTTTATTCTCGACCATGCGAGACACGCCTTTACAGGCATGATCATGTTTAGCTAACAGTGTGATCAATAATGTACAAAAGTACATGTTTGGCATAACTGTGTATGTAAGTGTATGGGTGTATTTACGTATGTAATTGTGTATGAATGTAGCTTGTGTCTTTGAATGTGCCGCAGCATTTTTGACTGTTTGTTGTCGTCAGGAATGAGAGCATAAGCGATTGATGTCCTTGGGTTGGATAGCACTTTCCGGATGTCCACGGGCCAGTGACTTTATTTTGTGGCGAGTCACATCCGCCACGTCGCAGTGTTGGTAAGCAGACATTTGTGGCTTTTTGTAGGGAAAACGCTTGCCAGGCGAAAACCCACCACGTCCTGGAACACTGCCGCCGAACTATTTGCTGGAACGGGTTAAACCCGAACCACCCAGCTGGCACCACGAGGGGGTTGTTCGGCTAGCCAGCCAGGGTAGGCTTAAGCAGTAACATCCCAACCCCTATCCGCCCTGCTCGATGCAGCAGATAGGGCACCGTTGATTATCCTGTGTGGTGGCCAGAGCATCAAGAAATTGTTTGGCGAAAGATTCATAGTATTGCGTGGTCAGTATACTGTCAGGTTTGCTGTGAGTTTCTTTGTTCCTCCCCGTCCGTTTTAGCCTCCCCCTCCACCTACGATCTCATTTCTTAGCGTAAAACATAATTTTTTTCATTTTGACTAGTAGCCGGCTGGTAGCTTACCGGAACGATGCCTATCCGTTGCTGCTAGCTCAGCTGGCATGCAACTTTTGTTTTTATTTCATTTATGTATTGCGGCACAGTAGCTGAGGTGTTTCCCACCTCTAGCTGACGTGTATAATGAATGAATGAATGACTGTCAGGTTGCCCAGGCCTAGACAGGAGAGCGATTAGAGTTCTCAACCAAAGCCTTTGGTCCAAAAACCTGACCGCAAGGCAACGGGTTTGGCGTTGGGCTACAAGGAGTCCGTTTTGAAGAATAAGGAGCCGCCTCGTTTCAACCCCCAACCTGGAGGACCAGGAGGCTGAGTTTGTCTGGCCTCTAACCATTAAGCAATCTGGTATGAGTGACTGAAAGTGTAAACAAGTACCACCCAACATAGCTCAATGGATATCTGAAGCACACAAACCATCGCACTACGGTAAGGTCCAGCTAATTGCGATGGCCTAAAGCTGCTGGGCATCTCCGCTTCATTTGGTGCCCCAGAAGACCAGCGATTGGAGACCATGTGACGACTACCGGGCGCTCGACAGTTTAACTGTTCCCGATAGATGCCCAGTTCCCCAACTTGTACGTCAAGTCTGTTTTCTCCACCATCGACCTAGTTCATGCATATCATCACATTCCTGTTGCTCCTGATGACATTCTAAAAACCGCCATTGCTACCCCCTTCGGTCTTTATGATTTCGTCCGTATGCCCTTCGGATTGCGAAACGCTGTCCAGGCCATTCAGCGGTTCATTGTTCAAGTCCTTAGAAGGCTAGATTTCGTTTTCGCATACATCGACAACATTCTCGTCGCCAGTTCGAACGATGAGAAACACCTATCACATCGTCTGATCTTCGAGCCTTTTGCTCAGTATGGCGTGACGATTAACGTTGACAAATGTATTTTCGGTCAATCCTGTGTCGATTTTCTCGGTCATCGAATTGACCACAATGGTATTAACCCACTTCCCATAAAGGCGAAGACAATCGCGGATTACCCAATGCCTCAGTCCTTCAGAAGATTGCGTCGATTCCTCGGGATGGTCAACTATTACAATCATTTTATTCCAGATTGTTCCCGGTTACTTCAGCCTCTGACGGATTATTAAAAGGCAAATTACAAAAGCTTGAGCCAACAGCAGAAGCAACTGGTGCATTTGATAAGGTCAAGCAGGCGTTATCCACGCCACCGCACTTAGCCACCTGAAAACCGATGTTGCCGCACCTCTCGTTCTCAAGACTAATGCATCACAAACTGCCATTGGAGTCGTTTTACAGTAGCTGATCAACAACCAACCTGAACCGTTGTCCTTTTTCTCCAAAATGCTTTAGCCTGCTCAAACTTGATACAGCACATTCGGTCGAGAACCTCTGGCTATTTATCTTGCCATTAAGCACTTCCGACATCTGCTTGAAGGACGTACCTTCACTACTCTTACGGATCACAAGCCGCTAGCTTTTGCCTTCTGCGGTTCTTCCGATCGATTTTCATCTCGGGAGACTCGTCATTTAGACTACATATCGCAATTCACGACAGACATTCGTCACGCTAATGTCACCAACAACACTGTTGCTGACGCAATGTCTCGCATCGATCTTCACCATTCACGCCAAGCTATTAACCTCGAGGATATTGCAGCTCATCAAGAAGACGATCCTGAGTTCGCAGACTTGAGGGCAAACACCTCATTGAGACGCTCTCAGCTGTCTATTCTTAATTCCAACTCTAAAGTCTATTGTGATTTATCGACTGGAAAGCCAAGACCTTTCGTTCTCAGCAGTACCGGGGCATTTTTTGATCACCTGCATGGCTTTTCTCACCCTGGCATTCGAGCAACTGTCGCCGACCGCTATGTATGGCGCAATATGCATTCCGACATCCAAAAGTGGGCGAAACATTGTGTCACTTGTCAGGCTAGCAACCTAAATTTACACACGATCACCGTACCTGACACATTTGCGTTACCCGACGCTAGATTTAAACATGTGCATCTTGACATCGTTGGACCACTTCCCTCATCCAACGGTTTTCAGTATTTGCTGACCTGTGTCGACTGTTTCACACGATGGCCTCATCCAGTACCTTTACGAGACGTTTCCACCGAAACAATTTCGCGGACGTTCGTTTAAACCTGGATATCTGTGTTTAGCACTCCAGCCACGCTCACAACAGACACAGAGGTCCTCAGTTCAATTCCGCCCTATTTCGAGACCTGGACCGTTTACTCGACTGTTCTCATATGAGAACAACCACCTAACATCCAGCTGCCAACGGTCTTGTTGAGCGTTTCCATCGTCAACTGAAAGCCGCAATTACCGCATCGCAGTCGAACACGCAATGGTCCGAACGGCTACCAGTTATCCTTCTCGGCATTCAAAACACGGTCAAGGAAGACCTAGGTTGTTGGTCCGCTGAACTGGTTTTCGGCACAACTCAGACTTCCCGGTGGGATGGTGTTAAATTCCAGAATCACTGGCGAACTAGAACCGACTTCCCATGTGGTACGGTTGCTGCAACATTTTACTTCAGTCCGGCCAACACTGCCCCGATTCAGCCTTCGAAATCAGCAAGTCCACTCTGATTTGCATACCTGCCCTTTCGTTTTTGTTCACGTCGATGCCGTGTGTAAACCCTGGACTCCGCCGTATGAGAGCCCCTTCAAAGTTGTTGCTCGCAAAGAGAAGTACTTCGTATTGGATAGAAACGGTTCTAAGAATTCTGTGAGTCTTGTCCGCTTGAAACCAGCATACGTCGAAACAGGCAGTAACAAGCCACCGAACAGACCTTCCCCAGTACCCCGCCTACCCAGCCGATGTGTGAATCCTATGTGCTTTCCTCCACCTCCTCCACCGAACCAGTGAGAGAACCATACACACCAAACCACACACACTCGGGACGCGCTTTTGTTTTGCCTTCCAGGCTAATGACTACCAACAACTGACACAAGTATCGATCTTTCGTTCTCCCTACTCACGCTCTAAAAGGGGAGTTCTGTGGTGTTTATAAATCCTTTATATTTTTCATTGTAACTTCTATTCTATTTCCGTCCATCCTCGTACATTCGTCTTAACTCACACATCCAGCTAGATACTTCTTCGAATTTTGTTCATCTTCTGGTTTCGGTGACGCTGTGCCTTTGTGGGTTGTTGTGTGTGTGTTTCGCATCGGTCGTCGGATCGCCGTTTGAGGATCAGTGTTCGATTTTACGTTCGTGCCAACAGGCAGGTTTGCTGCTTTTTCCCAAATGATACGTGGCTGTGAGTAGCCGCACTAGGGTCCTATTCCCCGTAAACTTTTAGCGGTTAATACCTATCTGCCAGACACTATACTATATGGCTGCGTGGTTATTGGGGGACGTCAGCGTAAGCACATTACTGGGGTCCTGCAATCGGGTTTCGAAAAGGCAACAGACATCAACATCTAGGGACTCCAGGATACGCGTTAGGCCGGCTTACTGTCCAATCTGCATGAATGTCCGCATCTTGACGCACGCCAGATGGAACGAGGATCGATGTCGTAGTAGAGCCACAGCTTGAACTCCATGGTCCAGGGTGCAGCTTGAATTGCGGGCAAAACCACGAATACAGAAATCATGCAGCAGATAACGAGGATTGTTAACAAATAAACAGTTTGCATGTGATAAAGCCGTATAAATGAAAGAGGCAGAAATGGCAGCAGACAAGCACATTGTAAAACAGTCTGTTTTTGTTAGTGGGCGTGATACTCCCCGGTTGTCCTACCTGAAGTAGGGAGTTGCCTTAGGAAAACTACTCCGAGTCTTTGGCTAAAGAGCTTACCCGCAAGGCAACGGGACGGACTCAGAAAGTCGCGCCCATTGGGAGTCAGTGACTGATTTCTCAGTCCATACGCCTTTCGTTTGGTTCGGTTACTAAACAGGGGTCCAATCCCCACGATGTCAGCTGGAGGGTGCTGGAATACCATGATACACCGGAGTGAAGCAGAGGGCAGTGACTTTATTTAGTGCCACTAAATAAAGTCCTCAAACAAACATTAGTGGCTTTTCATAGTGAGAACGGCGGTTAGGTGAAAGCCCACCACATCTTGAAATGCTATCACCGTACCATTTGTTGGAACGGGAGCACCCGAGCCAGCCTGTTCGCATCACGAGGAAGTTGTCCGGCGAGTAAGTAATATTGAGTTTCGTCACCTGCTATTTGACACCAGAACCTCTGGTGCTTCATTGGAGTGCCTATTGCATTCGAATCGCTTTCACTGGCTTGGTCTGCACGTTTGCTTTGCAACCATAAGGTCACCGGTTCGAATCCGCGTAGGGGTGGGCGTCCTCGCGGTATACTCAGCCCGCGCGCGACTGGTGGTAGTCGCGCGGCAGCGAAACGCCATTACGGCGTTCAGCTGACACATTATTATTATTATTATTGTTATTATTATTATTATTTAACCGAATGCCACAGCGTGTGCAGTTGGGTGAAACTGAGTTGGACAATCAATGATAAAGCAAAAGAACATTAAGAAACTCATCGAAAGACTGAATCGGGTTTGTTTCTGTCATCTTCCCGGATGGGTTCCCAAGAATTAATTCTTTTATCCGATATGGCACGGACACGAGACCAGTGGTATACATTTGCATTTGGTCCCCCATTTCATTTGATGATTTTGGATTTTTCCATTCCTCAAATTATTTTTATTCTTACAGTGATAGGAATCAAGACAACTTGATCCACCGCACCTCGGTGCACGGTTCGCAGTTGGTAAATTGACATGCTTGTGCTCTCACATTACCGTTCGCATTTCTGGGTATGTGGACATTAGTACGCCTTGCATGTAGCCCTTCTTTTGCCATACTCACCCTTAGTGATGTTCATAGGGTTCAATCCTCCAGTCACTTCCGTTTTCCATTTGTGCTTGATTTACCCATATACCACTATCTGGCAGGAATAAAACTAGGGCAAAGCCACCCTGGTTTGATTCTGCTGTACGCAAACAACTTAACAGACGTGCCAGATGTTGGCGTACTTACTTATCTGCTCCTTCATTATGCACCTTCAAGCGATATCGTGAGGTTCGAAATGCCTGCAGGCAGTATCTACGTGGTGCTCGTCTACAGCATGAAGTAGAGCTTGCTCGTATAGCCTCATCAAACCCGAAACGCTTCTTCGCTTATGTCAAAAGGCGAAGCAACATGAATTCGTGCATCCCAGTGTTGTTTTGCCCGGACGGCACTGCTGTTGTCACGGATCACGAAAAAGCTTGTTTGCTCGGAGAACAGTATGCTGGGGTTTATGTTAGTCACAGCCGCCGCATATCAGTCTCCAGGCAAAAGTTCCTGAGGGCTCCCACTTGGAGGAGGTTTCTATAACCGAGGCTCAAGTGCTCCGGCTTCTGAGGCAATTAAATCCCAATAAAGCTGCCGGTGGAGATGCTCTTCTTCCCAAACTGTTGTACGAGTTGGCTGATGAACTTTGCTCTCCGATTACGCATCTTTTTGTGAAGTCTCTACGAGGCTGCTCTCTACCCAAGGACTGGAAGGAGGCTATTGTTTGCCCCATTTTTAAGAAAGGTGATAAGCACCTCCCTGATAACTATAGACCGGTCAGTTTAACGAGCGTGCTGGTCAAGTTATTGGAAAAGCTCGTGAGGGACGCTCTCGAAGGACATTTGAAAGCGTTTGAGTTGCTTAATCCTTCTCAGCACGGTTTTCGTAAGGGCTATTCTTGCCTTACTAACTTGTTAACGGCTCGTGAACACTGGGCCGAAGCCGTTGATTGCGGGAAGGCAGTGGACGTGCTGTTTATTGACTTTTCCAAAGCTTTTGACGCCGTTCCACATTCGCGCCTTTTGTACAAGCTGACTTCCTTTGGTATTTCTGGACCAGTCTTACGATGGATTTCAGCTTTCCTAATCGGAAGGGAAATGTGTGTGCGGGTGGGTACAAGCTTGTCCTTCCGCCAATGTGTTCTCAGTGGCGTGCCGCAAGGTTCGGTTCTTGGCCCCCTTCTCTTCACTTTATACGTTAATGACCTACCTGATGAATTGGGTGTGCCATCCCTAATGTTTGCGGATGATTTAAAATTCTGGTTCACGATAGACGAGCCGATTGGTCCACTGACCCTACAGGGGACTCTGGATAGACTTTGGCACTGGTCAATTTTGTGGCAGTTGCCAGTTAATTTAGGGAAATGTTCCGTTCTACGCGTGGGTCCGAATGACCCGCCAACGCGTTATTTGCTTGGCGGCAACGAGGTACCGCGAGTTCAACTCCAATCTGACCTCGGTGTTTTGCTGTCATCTGACTTCAAGTCCAGTGAACACTGGAAGACAGCTGCTCGTAAAGGCTTCAACATGTTGTGGATGATCCGCAGGTCATTCGGGATCATGACCACCGACATGTTTGTTAGACTATTTTCGGCTTTTGTAAGGCCGCACTTGGAATACTGCGTCCAGGCTTGTCCTCCATGCCTGGTTCGTGATAAGATGGCAGTTGAACGAGTCCTGCGGTCCGGGACGAAAATGGTGTACGACTTAAAGAAGCTGACGTACCCGGAGAGGCTACGTAAGTTGGATATGTTTTCCATGTATTACAGGCGGCTTCGGGGCGACTTGGTCCTTACATATCGTATATTGATGGGTCAGATTGGTCCTGATTTGACTGGACTGTTTCGCCCAACTCGAATGCCAACCCTTCGTGGTCACCCATTAAAGTTGCACAAACCCCGGTCTGACCGGGTTTTGGCAACTTTTAGATTATCGCGTAGGGTTATAGCTTATTGGAACACGTTGCCTGCAGACGTCGTGATGGCACCGACGTTGAAAGAGTTCGAGCATCGACTTGACGCTCTCGGTCTGCAGTTTAAAGTCTTCCCCTTCGTGTCTTAAACTTTTCTTCGTCTATTACGGCTTACGCTTCTTTAACTCATTTTAACTTACATCTTAATATTGCCTACGATATTCGATTAGCTTGTCTTCTCCTCTGTTTTCTTTTCTTTACTGACACTACTGTTTTCTTTTATTCTTCACGTGGCCGGCACAGCGGGGACTGCTAGTGCAGGGCACGTGGGCATTGTTTGGTTGACCATATGAATCGTGTGTGTTGATTTGGCTCTCCTTTGGCACATCAAGGCACCGGTTTCCCTGTTGGATCAACGATGTTTTCGAAGGTGGAACATTCGCGGGATTTTCCCACTGTTCCGGTCCCAATTGAACTTGAACTTGAACTTTAATACTTTATCGCCATTGTATGCTGATGACCTGTGGCTCTAAAATGTGGCTAGTATTTTTGGATTCTAAATCAACTGTGTGCCCTAGCTAAGCTTATGGACTAGCTCTAATGGAATTAAATGAGGGGAAATACGAAGAGTGGGAAGAGTGAGTCCGAGAGATCAGGCTTTTCAGCAAGTCAAAAAGGCATGTAGGCTGAAATGTAATGCAGATAGGTCATGGTATACGAGTAATAAGTGAGAAGTTTACGGGTCATCCTCTCCGATCTAATAACGAACTAGGGGGCAGTTCTTAAGCTTCATGATTAGGCAGATTGTATACTCGTGTTCCTTGCTGTTGCTCAAAAAGGTGTGAAGAATTAGGTGGACAAAGGGGATCAGTTTGGAGTGCCTGGGGGTCCGTTGTTGCGTGTGATAGGGTCATATGGGGGATCTACGGAGGGGAATAGAAGAGTCACTAGACAGACCCAGTCCTGATGGTGGGTGGGGTCCTTGGGCTCCTGCCAGATTGCTCAATGTTTAATGGTCAGACGAACTCAGTCTCCTGGTCCTCCAGGTTGCGGCTTTGAAATGGGATAGCGTACATTTCCGTAAAACTGAATCGTTGCCACTTCCGCTGCCTTGCGGACAGGTTTTGAGCCAAGGGCTTTAATTGAGAACCCTTATTGTCTGCGAGCT